GGAAGCGGTCACGCCTACCCGATCTCAGGGATTTCGAGTATACTTGAGCGCGGGACCTGTCTTTAAGGAAGACGTTTCATTGGTTTACATTGTTACATATGAAGTACGTAGAAATTCGGGTGGCGCGGACGTAAAACGAAAATCTGAAGTGGGGATTTCGATTTCAACAGCTTACGAACACTTTTAAGAGCATAGAAGGTCACTACATTTAGGAAAATTCTTTCATTAAGGATTTTTAACGGTAAGTAATCGTTTGGTCTGTTCGATGGATGACGAGATCGTCTTGACTGTGACGGCACTTCGGATATGCTAGCTGTAATCGTACCAGAACTATGAGATCGATGAGAAAAGCCAGTCCCACTATGATGCACACAGCCTAAAATGAGCTTAAATAGGTAAGTATCTAGTTGTGCAATAGGCTACGGCCACAATCTAAGGCCATGTTCGCTGCGGATCCTGTGGCATGTCAGGGTGCTGGGTTTGGCCCGACTTCCACTCATTCACCACCTGTTGTCGCTTATACCGCCTCAACTACAGGCAAAAACTGGCTGACCTCGTGCCAAATCCAACATTCCTGACACGCTTGGGAGAGAGACAAAACAATCGTAATTTGCCGCTCGAGCGCGGCGTATGTGTCCCGGTACGTGGCAAATTCCCGATGCGTATTAGTTTGACAATTGGAGCAGCCAAACTCCTACGACTATGATCAGGGACAAAATGCTATGATCGGCGATATAAGACTGTCCTGCCCCTTCAACACTGAAATTCTACCTCGTCCGTGGGGTACGGCGCCGCCCGCCAAGCTCACCAGCGTGGCATATTACGATTGGGTTGTCATGTACCCGCTACCTCCCCCTCCCCCCGTCGACACAAAGAATAATCACGGAAATGTAGAAGGTTTTTCCCCGATATGACCATTTTATCTTTTTCCGACACGGAAATCCGCACATCCCTCTGATCGGTTGGGGGGAGGGCAATGAGTAGCAGAAACCTGGTGGTCCTGGGCAGAACTGTCAGTTACTGCTCCTGGAGCGGAAACAACGACACCCAACAAGATGGACAGACCTCGACACCAGACTGATGTTGATGTGTAGTGATGAGTGCCCACAAATCGCCAGGTAGTGTGATGCAGAAAGGTCAAATCATTATTTACAGGGTCTCACAATGTGTTTAGCCCCAATTGATCGAGAAGAGCGCGATACATTGGACTGCCAACCATGACGCGCCGCGACCGTTCGCGCCATATGAGTGTTCCGCTGCGCAGTCACGTGCATGCTGAAGAAACAAACATACGGTTCCAAGCCACCATGCTGTATACTGCCATCGAATACTGCTATAAGTCATGGTAATACTATTGATGAAGAAAAGAAAAGCAAACGAGCCAGAATACATAGTTTCCTGGAATGGTATTTTTATCCAGTGGTTCTGGAGATTTAGACAGAACGGAATCCCAGCATATGCGCTTACCAGAAAATCGCAAGTCGCACGGCTGCGTAGTGACTGCATTCGCAAGTTGACACCGGGCCAAAAGTTGAGAGAGAGAAGAGAGAAGAAGTTTGTTTCGATTATGGCCGCGGGGGCCAAGCATGGTCGACGTCGGTCAATCGCTGCCATATGTCGGTGAGATAAATGGCGAGGCCGACAACTGCCGATCAGAACAGAGCACATAGACGAGCCAAGTCTGTAATAAACCTCTAGAACAGTAAAGAGAAGAGATTCAGTCATAATAGCCCATCATAGGTCAGCGTCAGGTGCTTGGTGCTGTCGCTTTAGCATCCGCGGCGCAGAATCACATTCCTCAAGCTTTGCTGTATCAGGCGGGAGACCTGTCTACACATCAGCGCCTTTTTAATTGGCAGGCTTCTCCTGCTCACAGTTTTGAAGCGAAATGTGCATTTATCGGGAAGGAGCGATGGTAGGCCCGACTTCGCCCATGCAGTGAGCGAGTGATAATCGGTTAGCGATGGAGAATCGGGGGGGGGGGAAGCGGGAGGGGAGGTAGCGCCGGGCGGTTAGGGCTGTGTGGAATGGCGATTTTCTCATGTCCGTCTATGGGCTATGAACTCCTTTATGCCATGAGAAAAATCATTCAATCCCAGTAATTAGCATTCTCTAAAGCGATGAAAAAAGGTGTTGACCAGAATCGCAGGACGCCAAACTCCCTTTCCACGCGGTGTGTGGATGCTTAACCTGCTTGGTGTCTACGTCGCCCTTTAAGGGCACAGTTCAGGGGGTGTGGGGCATCACTGCCAAGATGCGGCATAGCACACTCTAGAAGGGTGTTCCCTAGCTAGACTATTTGACAAACACAGAAAGAGCAGAGAAAGCGTCGACGCACCCAGCGCTGCCACACTCAGTGGATTTGGTCCTGGTGCGAATGGTGGTGCGTACGTCCGCTGCTCAAAAGTAACGCTCACTGTCCACGCTTATCGCATCGGCCGAGACACCCAAGCAATTTGGCACATCTCACTGGGGTACCTCTTCTCTTGCCGCACTGAACATAGGGACGAGAGGAGGGCTCAGTAGTTGGGTGTCTCCGCCCATACGATCAACGTGCAGCGAACCTCTTATGGGGGTACACGATGGTCTCGGACAGCACCTATTCAGCCTGCAAAACCAGTGGAGAGCTTTTCTTGCACTCATTGTGCAGTCACCAGCTATGGTAATTACATCTACATACAGTCTTGTTCGCTGCGTATGATGAGGCGCGTCAGTTTCGCGGGCCGCCTACTCGGTCCCCACCAGATGTAGAAGCCGGTAAGCGACTACTATTGACGGAAAGCGACTGATACGAAAGATATGACACAGTCCGGTTGCTTGCATGAAAACACGAGAAGCGGAATGGCGTCGCGCCAAATTCATCCGCCTAGACAGGCCCATCATCCGCAGCGAATAAGATTGTAAGCTCTGCTAGCTATTGAATATTGAACTGATCTAATGGAGAAAATCGGAAATGGCGAAACTCAGCCGGCGCGCATGTCCGCAACCGTAGAAAGGAAAGTGTTTCCAAGGGAGACTAACCGATTGAAATATTCGCAAACCAGATGTCGTCGTAGCGAGATTCCAAAAGTCAAATCGAGGCCTACTCATACTTCTTGCCCTGAAACTTGATCAATCAAATTTTGAGATTCGACGGTGAACAGGATGCTCAAAATAGGGATTCCCTCTCTATTCAGTATAAGTAAAGATGATCCCCAATAAAAATCACTCACCTGGGCTCATCATGAGTCATTTCGCCGGAGATCGCTCTTCGCAGCTGGTATTGATCAACGCTTGATAAGGTGCCGAAGTTGGCAAATATTGCGGTGATCCGAAATGGGCGTTCACTGATTGCACAGCGTTTTTATGGCCGAATAGATTATGTCGAACGAATGTTGACAAAATGAAACAGCTACGCAATAGTATATTCCCATCTGTTGATCAGGATACCCTACTTTTTGGGATAAAATTCACTCGCCCAAGAACAGAAAGAAAAATAAGAAGGTGGAAGGAGTCACGACTCTCAAGAAGCAGTCTGAGGCTGTCAGCAGGATATGACCATCCCACTGCAGTGTGCTCTAACAGCTATGTGAGGCGAACAAGAAAATACTCCAAGTGGCGTAATGGATAGCGGGAACACTTGCCCGGAAAGCGTGGCCCCGGGTTCGAGCCTTACTTCGGGTCGAGGCTTTTAACCCAACAGAACATTCTCGCGATCACTTCCCGAGCATGAAATGCGGCGTCAAACAGTGAGTCATTAAAATAAAACGTACTTGTCTGATGTTTCGGTTTCTGAGAAAATTCTTCCAGAAAAACAATCCTTCTCTAGCTAATTTTATCGACATTAGTCATAACTTTTTCATTCAAGTACAGCGAAAATCTCAGATAATGTTAACAGAAGCAGACATAAACAACAACAAACAACAACGAATCAACAAGAACAGAATTCTTTACAAAAATAAACAACTGCCGAAACCAACCACATAAAAAGAAAAAGAATACGACTGTAACAACATAACAACATAATCCTTGCTTTCGCCTACCACGTCAAATGCAGATCCGCAGAGCTTTAATAAATTGTCTATTGAATAATTTTTTACAAAAGGCAGCTAATCAAAAAGATGAACTACTGTTGTCCAAACTTTTTCAATTTGAACGGAGCCGTTGAGGGCTCAGAGGCTTGTAACCTGCACGAGCAGACTCGTTTACGAGAGCGGAAGTGTAGAGTCTTGGGAATCGCAGCATTCACTCGATTAGACGATGTTGCTGACGCACCAGCTGGACCATATACAGAGGAGCGTGACTGAAACAGAACTAGTTTATTATCGAAGAGCAATATGTCCACTTAATTGGGCGCAGTTCGGCTTGGTGGGGGCACCAAATGGGGCTCAGCTAGGCTTGTGAGCGGTACCTTGTGAAGACCTGTACATTCCTGTGACCGAAATGACCCGCTCGAATACGGTAGTAGCTTCACTGGTGTTTACATGTCTGATCAGACTTGTCAGTTGATATGAACCAACAAAAGGAACGAAATGCGAAATGCCCCCTCCAAACCGAACAGCGCCCTTGACTGCCTCATTTAATGGATGAAAATAACAGTTAGAGGTCCAGACCCAAAATGATGCTCCTTTCCTCCACATACCTTGTCTATGAGCACCCATTGTCCATCACTCGCCACAACAATCAGCTGATCATTCGGTCCAGCGGTTATAGAAACTGCACGATAGCCTGGTGCGCCGAATAAATCTACTATCGATGCTGATCGCCGATCTGCACCACCAGCTTTTGGGAACTAAAGCACAATTCATCTATTTTTCACGAACTAGAACCATTGAAGTAATGATTTAGCATAGGACTCACCTCAAAAAGCACCTTGGTACTGGCGCTTGGCTCACTGAATCCTGGTGTCGCACACAATACGAACAAACTGTCACCATCAGTGAATGTTATGTCAATTGGAAGGCTGACCCGTAATAGTCGTGACTCTTCTGCAAAATAAAAAAATCATGAAGTGAACGAACGTTAGAAAGCTGGGCGCTGCTCGCCTTGGAGGAGGCATTTTGAACTTTCACTAGTTCTTTTTGTTAATTTATGGTAACAAACAAGTTTCACTTGGGTCAGACCTGCAAACTTCTGTGAAGCTGCGAATCTGTTTGAGTGAACCGCTTCGTTCCCAGGGATTTACAGGTCTTCACAATGTGGCCTGCACAAGCTTAGCTGAGCACCATCTGGTGCCTCTACGGAGCTCATCTGCGCCAAAAGCTAGCTGGCTCATGCGTTGGTTAGAGAGTAGAAGTTTGGTCGGTTTCTAAGAGTTGATTGAGTACGCCAGGATCAACAGCGATCTCAAA